GCTGCTGCCCAAAATAAATACGTACCTGTAACGTTGCTGCTGCAAAGAGCTTGAAAACGCGACAGGCAGATGGTTTTCTGGGCTGGGAACCCAAGAGGAGGTTTAAAAAGGCCCGTGTCTACCAGATTTGGTTTTCTCAGGCTTTTGGGGGGTTTTTTTGGTGCTTTAATTGTGGGTTTTTTGAGGGTTTCAGGTTGCTGGAGGGAGTGGAGCTGTGTTTGATGGATCTAGGGGAGCGGAGGAGCCTGGTGAGGGCAGCACCGCCGGCTAGCCCGGCGATTCCTGGGGGTCAGGGATCTGTCGAACCAGGTGGAGGTGAGGACACCCGCTCCCACCTCGAGGCAGAGCTCGTCTCCTTGCTTCACCTCTTCATCCTTCGCCTCCCTGGCCCCAAGCAGCTGCCCCCCCTCCCCCCCAAAATCCCACACCGCTGTCAGGCGGTGGGCACCTTCCAAAAAAAGCTCTGCGGGAGCTGGGTCTGCTCTGGGACGCAGATTCCCGGTTTGGCAGCCGGGGGTTTGCCCTCTGCCCCCCACGAGGGCTTCACCTGGCAGTGGAAATGGCTTTTTTTTCTTCTTTCCCCCCTAAATCTTGTTTTCCTCTGCAGCAAAAGAGAAGGGAGGAGAGAGGAAGCACCTGCGAGTCTCTTGGTTTATTTTTAGCCGCTTCCCAAAGAAGTCAGACTGATTACAACCCGTTTGTCTTCTCTTACTTTAGTTCTGAGGGGTTTTTTTGGGGGGAAAAAAAAAAGGAATAAGGCAAAGGAGAGCGTCTCCCTCTTCCCCTGATGCCCCACCCGTGCTTTTTCAGGCAGCCAGGGCGGCACAGCCCCTGCAGGCTCCCACCGTGGAGGTGCTGGCTGGGAGGTTCGCAGCTGAGCGGGACTTTCCCCGTGGTTATCGTGAACCCGTGGCTGGAGGCAACAGCCCCCCAGGCTTCGAGAGAAGCCTCGTCTGCCAAAATCCTGCCCGAACCCCAGCCCGGAGGGATTTTTCCAGCAGAATCGCCTCCCCCACGCCACCTCTGGGGGTGCAACGTGCGTGTGGCACCTTGCGAGCCCGCGGGCTTTTTGCCTGATGTCATCCAAGGGCCCGTCCCTGGGTTTGGTGTTGCCAGAAGGAGGGTGGGCTGGAGCTTTCCTGAGCCCCTCTCCGACCCGAGGGAGCCGGGGAGGTGCCGTAGCA